CTTGTGAATGAATAAAGTTTGCTTGTAATCTTCCCGGAAAATTCATCGTCTGCAGCGAGTCGTTGCAATAAGCACCATTAACCTCTTTTCCTGCAGCCCAGAAGCAAGTGAGATCCGATCGATGCGCGCGAAACAAAAAAACAAGCCGTGCATGGCTCGTTATTGCAAAATACTATGATAGCAATGCCCCAGATATAGAATTTATTATTCCAGGATAAATATCCCAAAACGCCCAAATATTTGATTCTACTGTTATATAATAATACACAAATCCGCAGTGGCTAACAAGAAAAATTAAATAGCTTGAAAGCTGTACGTCATCGTACGTAATTACTTATTGTAGTGCATGATGTGATAAATGTGTAATAAGATTTTAACGATTAACGTAGGGAACATCGGAAAACGGAACAAGCAGGTTCACTCCTGCAACGATACCTTGCCAAGGTAAGAGTTCCCATCGCCCATCGAGAGGTCGGAGGTCCTGCGTCGCGCAGCGCCGCGCCCTCCCCGCGCTTTTCGCCACGCCCCGCCCCGCGCCCCGCCGCCCCTCCTCGCCCACGGGCGGCGGGGCGCGTGCAGGACGCGCGGGGCTCGATCCACCCGCAGGGCGATTGCTGTCACAACTGGGCAGCACGCTTCAGGTCGCAGTCTCGGCAGGCTCGCCCAGATGGGCCGGCCCAGCTTGCGCCAAACGCAGCTAGGGCCAGAACAGCAGCCTTTGGGGCATGGCTCAGCTGGGGCAGAGCAGCTGGGCAGGCTCGCTTGGGGCCAGACGCAAGCGGGGCAGACGTCAGCTGGGGGCAGGCTCCATGCTGGGCAAGGCCCGCAGCTGACGGACCACGCCGGCACCGCATGCAGGCTCCACGCCCAGCAATGCCGGCACCGGCACCATCAAGTTGGCATGCTCTGCCGACTTTCACCGGGCGCTGGGTGCGTGCCCAGCCCGCGCCGCGCGCGAACTGCCGCCCTCCTGGACGCACCGCCCGCACCCCCCGCCCCTCCCCGCCCCGCCCCGCCCTCCAACGTGTACCAAACGTAGGGATTCCGATGGATTTCCAAGGGGTTCTCGTTTTCATCCTCGACATAATTCACCACACCTTCTCAATTTCGAAAACACCTTCCTACAATTTTTAATAATCAAGACAACTTCACACAAATAATTCTGGACTTATTCCGTAGAACGTAATATCTGTAACAATACAATCAATGTCACTCCCCCTGCTCGACGCGCACGTATTCGCCCACGCGTCAGCCGCCTTTGTCCTCCTCGTTGAGCGCGTGCTCCCTACCGCCCCTCATGCGAGCTCCGCGCCAGTTGCCCGCGAGTTTGCTTGATATGGTTGCGGGTAGCAAAGTTGCACTGCGCGTTTCGCCACGTCCCCTGTCCCTTTGTGTCTCGAGGACAAAGCGCAAGGCACCAATCCACTGTACCAAAGGGAGGGGAGAACGCGGCATTCTGCGAGCACCCTTCTCTGCACCTGTCTGCCTTCCTATTGTAGTTCCTTCAACTCCGCACTTATCTTTGTAATTACAACAATTTTTTGTTTCTCACGTGTGTGTGTGTGTGTTTATCGTGTAGTGTGTGTAATATACGGAAAGGTTGCCGCAGTCTGTATATCCATTGTCCCTTACCTTATCAATGGACTTACCTTACCTTATTGCCTTACCCGTCCTGTCTGAGCAATATAGTTCTAGAGGTTTATTTCTATAAAGAATGATTTAATATTTTAATTAGTAGAATTATGGAAATCGGAAACGGAATTACTTCTGAAAAGCGTTCACGTTTTGTGCACCTCTAACCCATGACAGGAGAAACGCTTGAAATGGACTAGAATTGGAGAGCAAATGCGTCTTTTTCACCACGTCTCAATACCAAATCTCAAAATTATAATAAACAAAGCTAGAATCTCAATGTATGTTAACACTTCTAAACCTTGGTTAAAGTTTTGTAATTATCATTTTGTAAAACCATGTACTTCGAATAATTCTATATATATTCACAAAATGCATATTTGCGACACATAGCAAATTCTTTTAACTCCATTGTTTCAGAAATTTATTCAATTCCTCCCTATTTCAGTTGTTTTATCCAACTCCTTCAATAACAGGGAGCAGTAAAAATACCAAAAATATATTCTTAATATTCGAAAACAATTGTTTCGGTAGAAAATACTACATTGAATTGACTGGATTAATTTTCTACGATGAAAATACATTTTAATATTTGATTTGCGACCCCCGTGCAGGTCTCGGTGGCACGTCGCCGCGACCTTCACCGTCGGACGAGAAGCCGAACCCCGAACACACGCTGCAGGCGAAGCTCCAACAGCAGCAGGCCCAGCAGAGCACGGGCTACCTGCACGACCTCAAGAGCCAGCAACAGCAGGTGCAGCAGGCCCAGCAGCAACAGGCCCAACAGCAACAGCAGCAGCAGCAGCTTCTGCGGCAGCAACAGACGCAACAGCAGATCCAGCGCCAGCAGCAGCTGCTCATGCAGGAGCAGCAGCTGTACCAGCAGAAGCTGCAGTTGCAGCAAGCGCAGGCGCAGCAGGCGGCGCAGGCGCAGCGGACCCTGACGGGGCTGTTGGCGGACTCGGCGGCCACCAGCTCCGTGGCGCCCGCGCTCTTCCCGCAGCACATGACGCCGCAGCAGCAGCAGCTGTACCAGCAGCACATGCAGCTGCAGCACCAGGCGCAGCACCTCAAGAAGATCCGGCGCTCGCTGCCGCACTCGAGCGCGGCCACCTCGGACCAGGTGGCGGCGCAGGCGCAGCACCACCTCGACGAGCTCCGCCACCAGATGGTGAGCGCCTCGCTGCGCCCGCCACGGCGCCTCCCCCCCCCAACACACACGCGCGTGCGCACGGGCGCCACCGCCTCCGTGTCTCATGGCACGATCAGTGCAAGAGTACTGTGCAGGGTAGTTGGCATGTACTACTTCAAAAACATGTTGCGACACCAAGCACGCATTGCCTTTTATTCTCAGAATCTCAAATGTTTTACATTTAATCTCTCTATTCAAATGATCGTTGATTGAAATCCACAAAAGCGTGAAATTTCCATTTAGATTGTTTGCGTTTGGACATTCAGAATTTTAAAGCCATTTATTTTTTAACGCAGAATGAATAACTATGAAATACCCAGCAAGCAAAAGTATTTCTTCGTTACCGAACCAACAGCGGACCACTCACATAACGCGGCGAGTGACACATCTAAAAAAAAGTATCAACGTGAAAATGAACGATTTTCATCTAAGCGGTGCCATTTAGTTCATTATCAAAGACACTTTTACTTTAGATACTGTTTGTGAATGATCTTTATTAATTTCTTACTAGTAAAAATATACTTATTATATATATATATATATATATATATATATATATATATATATAAGCACATATCTCAAAATTATTTCCTGTATTGTCTTTTTTCTTGTATTCCCACGATATTGGTACATATTTTGCAATGAAAAAAGTTTTTAAACTAAATCATAGTTAGAAATACAGCAAAACAATAATGCGTGTCAGCCACAATATCAATTTTTAAATGGCACTTACAAAGAGTTGTTGCATCGTTTGTAGAATTTTCAGTAAAACGCCCTTATTTTCAATAATTCCTAAAAAAAATTTGTGCAAGTGAGTTTTGGGGTCACAAAATAGACACACATAGACTGACATTACAATTATCATTGTACCAGTCAACCCTCCCACCACCACGCAGTGTTGGGTCTTTACCGCTAGCGCCCAGTCTCCCGCTTTCGAACAAAATAAAAGCAAAATGGTCTGCGTGATTCTATTTTGATATTATATTCGTATTAAGTTTCTCCTAAAAAGAACTGAACACGTGTATAAATTAAAATGATGCAAAATAAGAAAAGTATAGTTCATGTTCTTCACTGTGTAAGTTTGTAAAACAAGAATGTATATCATATACAGATGTTAATTATTTCCACAAAACATCAAAAGACTTAAAGTTATTGAGACTTTCTGCGCCATGAACTTTCGTTTCCGAAAACCTCCGACCTCCCTCCTCCCTTCTCCCCCTATCTCAATGCAGGTGTAGCGCTCGCCCATCTTTGGGGCACAATATTTGCTTGGCGCGCCCGGAAGCAGCAAAGAAGCGTAATTTTGTTAAACACAAAACGTTTCCCGGGAAACGATTAGAGAAAATTTACTTAAATAACAGAAAGGTCTACGTGATTTTTGACGGTAGAAGACGGTATGACACACCTGTATTTTCACAACATACACCAGAATGACTGACCGTTCACAGAATGACTTTGCATAATACTAAAAACCAAAAGTAACATTTCTTACTGAAACGTATTATCAGCTGTCTCAAGACTCAACCAAGAAAACCACGCGATTTTTGAACAAGATATACGAGATAAAACAATGCAACGAGGACATTTTAGAGTTGTGAAAGGCCATATTTACATAATTGCCTAATATATTGTCCTATTTGTATTGTTTTCCATCAACGATCCCTGAGAAGTGTTTAAAACACTCAAGCCTTCTGGAGGTTTTCAAAGGCTGATTCGTGAAGTGACCAGCTTTGGAATCCTTCGGGAGGCGAATCGCAGCCAAAGTTATTCCTGCCCCAGTTTTAGGCTGTGACAGGGCCTAAATGATGAGCGTTGCGCCAAACGGCGTGGCCGGGGCGGGGGAGGGAGAGGGGCACAGCGTGCGCTGCAGCGACGCGACGCGGTGACCGGCCAGCGGGCGGCGTGCGTGCATTGAGAGAAATGTTATAGTACAATGCATTGAACATATTTAGTTAGCGAACGTACAATAAATCCAATTATTCGTGTGGTAAGATTCACAAAACATTTAGTTTCGTTTAGTAAATCGGACAATTCAAAATTGTAAGGGTATGTACAAAGTGAATTGCCGGTAGTACTATACTTGTTTCATAGATAAATTCATTCCGTGATTTCTGCTTTTCATGTCACACTTATTAATGACTGTTTAGTAAGGGTGCATTTTCAGATATGTGACCATTTTTAATGGATATAAACCCACGTGACGGGGTGGAAATATATGCTGTAAATAGTATTGTGAGCTGCATAAACACTGTTTAGAATTTTATTCATTGTATAAGTTGTATTCTAAACTAATGGTAGAAATACCGTAGGTAGCCAAATGCTGGAAACCAGCTCCCCTGTCGTATATATTAGCAAGGCTTTGTTAGGTAATCGAGTTTAAGGGGGTGCGAACCCATGGGACCTTACAGATAGGTGACCGTCCTGAAATCCCAATTGCTACCTGGCTAAAGGGGTAAAAAGTAAATCTCCCTTTCACGTTTCCGTTTATTAAGTACGCACTTAGTGAGCATGTTTAGGAAAGGCGGTTATGAAACCCACACTCGTGGTTTAGTAATTTTCACGACGCGTTTAGTAAATATTATTAGATGCATTAGTCAACGCAACGATTAGTAATGACCATTAAATGCAGTTCGCCAGTGTTGCGACCTGTTTAATAAATATGACTGTAAGTGTATTAGTAGGTTTCACTCAACAGCAGTTTCATAAACGCGACTAAGCACTTTGTTCTTCCAGTATGGACTGTACCGCATAGTTCAATCTCTTACATGATTAATTAAACAGACTAACCATTCCTGTCCATGTGCGCAGATGCAGGTGTCGGTGGTGCCGTCCGTGCAGCAGCGGCTGCTGTCAGGACAGACGCTGCAGCCCATGACGGGCATGAGCGTGCCGTCGCACCTGGTGAGCAGCCAGCCCGTGATGAGCGGCGTCGACGCCCTCGGAAAGTGTGAGTGGAGCGCAGCGCGAGCCGACGCGAAGGTGCGGCGCGGGCGGCGCGGGCGGCGCCCCGGTGAGCCTCGCCCGACCGGGCCCGGCCGGCGGATGAGCAGCGGGCGGTTCGAGCGGCGCAGCCGAGCGAGAGCACATGTTTTGATCAGGGGAGCCCGGCTGAGCGAGCGGCCGCTTCGTGCCTCTCGGTTCGTCAAATTTGCGCTCAATGCCGGTCGCCCCTCAACATTTCAACGGGGTTCTAGAGATTGTCTTAGAGCGGGTCACTCTTGCGGTAAGGTTACAGACGAACCGTGCCAAGTAACTTTTCGTTTAGATTGATGGATTATGTTCTGCTCTTTTACATTTTCGCCACACACAACCAGGAAATGTAATACACATGCCATTTCACATCAGAAAACGCATAGATAATGCATAAAATTTAATTGTAATTCAAGAGTATATTTCAGTAAATGTAACGAAATTTGATTTTTCTTTCCACTGTGCAAACTCTTGATCAAAACATTTGTCTGCGGTTGCTGTGTTCACTTGTAAATATTCTACATAGTATTTCGAACGTATATACTATGATCAATAGTCTTTGTTGAGATTCCATTACAAAAACAATTTTCTTCAGTGCCAGATAATTTTGATGAATATAGAATTTGCAAAGTTTAGACTTGTAACTATTATGTTGTGAGCTTAATAGAACAGTCTACGTTAAAACGATATCTTGTCATTAATGAAGAATACTCTATTTATATTCACTATTTATCGAAGTTTTAAACAAGAAATCTGGTTGGTGTTATTTCAGGTTTGCTAAATACGGTTTCTTTACGTCGTTAATTTCGTATCCGTGGTTCCTTTAGCTCTTGTGGTCTTTCTAGAACCAATAAATAAATAACCGTATTAGTAACCACTCCTCATTTTCTTTTTTTAATTGGATTCAAGGAACTTTGCTGCAGCGCTTCTTTTATTTATGATAGTTATCTTATTATAGAATGATATCTCTTTTTATATACTATTTTCCAGATTTCGATTAAAAAGTTACTTTTTTTCAAGTAGACATTTTTAACAATCTTGCGAGGAAATGCACTTGAAAACAATCTCGTCGTTAATACAATTTATGTTTACGCCTCCTTGGCTACTGTGTAAAACGTAAATATAACGTGTACAAATATTAACCACGTAGTATTATAAATGAATTATGGCATTTTGTGAACGAGTTGCTCTTTTATATTACTCGAAATATTTGAGAACCGACTAGATTCTTGAAATAATTGTTCAAAGAAACAATCTCTTTCACTCAATAAATTGCATTTGCTATTTGATTGGATTCAATAAGGGTCGATGAATGTGCAACATTTGAGACAGTTGTTACTTAAACTCTATAAAATTTGATATCTGCGTCAAACTTGGTACTTTACTTCACACAAGAAATAAATATTTATATTTATTAAATTACGAATGATTCTCATTATTACATTTTGCCACTTCAGGCGTTAATTCGTTCAAACGAAGCGAACGAGGATCAATGACGAACGAGCGAGAGCTGAATAGAACGCGCAATGTCCACCGCAAATCCCAGCAGAGCACTCGTGCTGCTGGGCGCTCGTGGCTGAACGCCGCCCCGCCCCGCCGCCCCGCGTGGCGCAATTGCCCTCCGCCAGGCGCCTCGGGCGTCGCGGGGCGTCTCATTTGAGGCGGCGCCTGCTGCGAAGGGGGAAGGCGCGCCTCTTGCTCCCCGTCTAGTCGTCCTGTCGCTGCGAGGCGCGGGGCAACGAAGCACAATATCCCCTTCGGACACGCTGTGGCACCTGCGAGCGCTGTCCGAGGACTCGCCGCGTGTGAATAAAGGGCTTTCCGTGGCGACTTCACACGGAACGGAAGTCGTTCGTTTGTGGCGTTTGGATTACCTCTTTCGCTTCGGTATAAATCTGCCAATGATTTTCTTATGTGGTTTTGAATGCGGAACGAAATGTGAAAATTAAAGTTTCATATATGTCATTTTTTAATATAGTTAGATGTTACCAATAAGGAAACATTACCGCAAAAACTTAATAATCACTAAGCCTAATTTCAAATTGAGTACAAAATTATCATGATTTTCATGACGTACCCAAGAGATAGTATGTCATTCTGTTGCAGATATTTTTCAGCTTATTAACTATGCGTAATGAGAATTCTAGAAACAAGAGCCACAAGCGTTTAAAGTGTAGCTTTGATAGAAAATGGCTATCTATAGTTACTGAACTGTAATTATTGAAAATTATAATTTGTATTCGCATCAAGGACAAATACATGTTTCGTTGTTTACGTTGTTTTTGTGGTATAATTACTTTGGATGTTTCTAATTGAGAATCTATTCCGGCACACGGCACATACGCAGCAGGCGATTTAGTAATAGGCAGTGAATCATCATGCTATATTTAAAAGAAAAGACAGAATTAAAGTCCTTGTTTTCCCATTCACATAGCCATTTTATCTTTGATTATTTCTAAAACATAAAAGTCCGTCAAGTTCTCTCGAACAAGGACTGTGTGTGCAGCAGTCGGCTGTGAGTTTGCGACGATACTGAACGAGATAAAAAATAATATTAGAAACAAGGTATCAAACCGAAACCGACACTAATCTCTTACCTTTTCTCGGATTTCTCTGACAAAAAAGAGACTCTTTTAATTCTTCAAAATGATACCTAATAATTCCTGTTAAAATTCAACAAATCTTAGAGGCGCACTTTGGTAAAATCAGATTCTACATAATCCAAGCTAAGCGTCTAGGTTGATACTTTTTTTTATAAATTATTGGTTGATGTTCATTACATTGAAAAAAGATCAATATTTATTTACACTGAATTCCCTTCTCAAAGTTTAAATGATATTCATTTAGTTGTATTTCTGTGGCCATCGTGACTCACAATTAAACAAATATTTTAAAAAATGTGTTTTAAAAACCGAAACAAACAGGGGCATGCCTCATGGCAACGACCGTGACGTCACGCAAATATAGGATTTTTTATTGCTTTCATACTAAATTAGTTACTATCTAGTACAACATAATTTCCCGAGATTGTATCATAAAGATAAGCAACACGAGCAAGACCGACGTTTGTCTCTTTTTTTGCATATTATTATTTATGGTTTAAATATACGCTGCCAGAAATATTTTTCAAATACACCCTCTCAATAAGAAATAAAAAATCAAAAAATCGATCGAGTCACTGTAAAATGCTGCTATTGGTACTATATATCTGGCAGTACAACTCGGTAGATTTTGCAACACGCAATTCGGTTTTGCAGTTTAACTGAGTTTGGTGGTAAGATAGATACAGAAACTGAATTTGCAAAATGCAGCTACACCTTTCATAAATTAATTTTGACGACTCTCGTGATTTTCAATAATGGGTTGGACATAAAATCAACAATCATTATTTCTGAATGCAAATACCCAGAGAAACTGATAGAAAACTATGCAGCCTCCAGCCATATGTCTATTGTGTTGGCAGGTACCCAGAAACTCGCGGAAAATCAATAATAATGAAATGCGTTCGATTTGACTGAAAAATGCAAACACTTATGTGTCAATCCACGTTTTCTCATTCTGCGCGAACCGATTTAACTCTCACACTCCGTGCGTCATTGCTTACGACCCAGCTGACGTCGTCCGTCAGCAAGGCCACAAAGGAAGATGCCGCCCGCCCGGCCGCCATTTAATATTGGCTAATCACTTGTTGCATTATGAAATAGCAATTTTTTATATTCGTGGTATGTTAATAACTGTCGGACTATGTATTCGTAGTATATTATGTTATTGAAGATTTCGTGAAGACGGTTTTAGTTAAAATATTTAATTTATTGTAGTCGTATACGACAAAACTTTATTTCTTATTCTTCAGCAGTGTGCGTGCTACTTTTTGCAAAACCATTTGTGTGGTTTGGTTCAGGAACAATTCTGCTGATGCAGGCCGTTAGTATTACAGAGGTCTCTTCAATTTTTTTGGAGATCGGGAGAGAGAGCTCATGGTAATCAACTGATGTTACGACCTCTGATCGGGAGGTGCTAGGTTCAAGTTCCGACAGTGTCAGGAATTTTGACACTAGCTTGTCAGCTTGATCGAATTCAGTCACTGTCCGGAGAAAAATTCTAGTAGCCGGCTGCTCTGATCAGTAGTTTTCCGTGTTTTCACCTGGTGTACACCAGGCGAATTGCCGGAGCAGTACCCTAACAAACGGACAGCGCGCGGTCTTTCCTTCATCTTCCTTGTCCTTTTATATCCTCACCTCTTCCACACACTCACACTAACATGCACTACACTACCACACATGCCGGAAGACTGGTCGAAAGCTTAGAGCTTGTCCCGGTTGGGGCGGTGCCCCACTGATGGTAGATACCTGGTAGAGGGAAACCCCACTAGCCGACGGTAGGTCGGCGCCGGAACTCACCATACAGCGGAAGAACCACCGCCACCTCCCGACGACAGAAAAAAACATGCACTACATTTACAGGACTAATGACCCTGGTAGTTGTCCCTCCCGGAATGAATAACAATCAATCAAATTTTTAGATAGTTCCATTTGCGCAATTTTGACACATAAACTATTGGAAATCTGATATATAGACTTAACAACGAAAAGCCAAATATAAACTGTATAAAATATAGAATCGCATAACTGAGAGTGATTGTTGGCTTTACAAAATGCAAAGTCGTCAGGGAACTCAATGGACCTAATCTTCCCTATTGGATTTCGAGAACGCAGTTGGATTTCGCATAAATGTGTATATCAAATATCAGAGGCACTACGTTTTATTCCATCATGAAACGTGGCAATAATCGCATTTAGCCTACAATTTCACCTAGCAACTTCTCTGGGGTCTCCCTAAAATCGTTTCGCGGTCCCCTCGAGGACCGTGGACCCTCCCAAGAGAACCTATTAATAATAATAAAGGTGATTTTGAAATGAAAACAAACATAGTATTTAAAAAATTAAATTAAATTTCGTTTTTCGCTATTCGTTATATTGAAGTATTAATAAGTATTAATATGGAAATTTGATTTCGTCCTAATAGCTTTTGACGTGTGATCTCGTGTTTTTTACTACAAAGGGCGACAAAGTAGAAAAAAATATAGCTACCGGTTTAAAACCGAAACGCTTTGTTATCAAAAACCGAAATATTTTGTTAATCGGAATGGGAACGTCATTTGAATTATATTTTACTTTATTATATTTTTATATTTTAATTTCAAGGCTCAAAAATGTATGTTGAATTAATGTAACACAATGAAAAGTAACATTTGCTATTTTAAATGAGTTTTTACTTGAATGACTGGAAAAAGACAGAAAAATGTTTTTCAAAAATAAACAATCATGTGTCCTACCTGATAAATAAAATCCACGTAAAAGTGGAATGTTCGTGATAAAAAAAACGTTTTCCTTAAACTACTCTGAAATGTAATTAGAAAAGCAATATATGTGCCGAGTGAAGGTTCGGTTCTCTCTATTTCTCCAAATGCAAGTTTTCGTTATTTTATTACGTTTAATGGAACTGCAATAAAATTTTAGGTGTTTCGCGCACGTGATATTTGCTTCGACATGCAGACGGATTTGCCATTTGTAACGGAGCAGTTTACGATCTAGAAGAGAAGAAAGAAAGAGAGAGAACATAAAATCCTAAATGAAACTAGGGAGTGTTCTTTTCAAATATTTCTTGACATCAACCAATAATTTCATGTTGTTTCCCTGCAAAATATTAATTTCTTTGTCTGCGTGTGGAGTTACATTGAAGTATAACCAGTTTCTCAAATATCAAGAAGAGTAATTCAAAGAGATTTGAATCATAGATTTTCACGTGTTTCAAAAATGCTATAAATCGTTTTTGTTAACAAAAATAAACAGAAATAAGTTATTATTTAAGTAATATGTATTATATGAGTAATATATTCCTTGAACTCTATTAAAAAGAATACATTTCATTAAATTCATTTTTCATTATAAATAGTTTGTACAAGAGGGATGAAAAGGATCAGTGGATCGAGTCTATTAATCACTCACCATTCGAATCTAATAGCCATATATTTTTTTCTTTCTTCTTTTCCTGACATCAGACGTACAACTTATATTACAAATATTTAATCTTCACTCTTAAAATGCTAACATGCAATAGTACGTCCGTATACATTATAAGGTTCTTTAGGTCAACATTCACCCTCGACGTTTCGAAGCCTATACAGTGTGCAGGTTCCGTCAGATATACATGTCAAGGCTCATTCATTAATGAGTAACTACAAGTCACAAAAGTTGGTCACAAGAATACCGAAGAAGAATTTCACAAATCATCATTTTTTAAAATGTCGTTAATGCACAACTTCCTATTAGTTATAGATAAGTGTACAAAAATGAATCTTAAGCGCATCAATAAAAAATGTCTCCAAACATTATTCCGAAAAACGTATTCTCCTCAACCTCGACACACAAATGAGGGAATAAGCACCTACAGGATCGATATTAAGAAATGGTGTTTTAATCAGGTATCGTTAATAGCAAAATAATCTACAAGCAAAAAACAATATAGTCGTTTCCGAAGGTAACATAACATATGTATAGAATCTATACATTTGAGATAAAACTCGTTCATTAAAACTAGTTGTGTGTTCAATAAAGACTCTGCGCAAACATTTTCGAGTATAATAAAAAATAGGTACCAGAATTTTACCAATTCGTCTGACACTATATTGTCATTTGATATTATATTCACGTAGTGTGGTCTCCTGAATGTGGTGCTAGATGTGACTGCCGTAACTACTTCCTTTGGATAGAATTCTGACACTGACTAGCACTAATGATATCATTCATATCGGGTGTAACAAAGAAGCTCTCAAATTTGCGTTGATTTTAAGATAAATTATTTTATAGATGATCACTTCGCGAAGTGTTGCAAAGAATTCATAATTTAATTTATTTCGTCACACAACAATAAAAGCTATATGTGGCGTATGGGGGAGAAGTATAATCTGCGCACGTCTCGAAATTTCTAAAGTTTCTTCCCATCATTGACAGGATGTAATTATAAATATGTAATTAATTAGACTCATTTAAACATAACTCGGTGTTGTTGCAGCTTCTACATTACAATTTGAAGTCTCATTCTTATTCATCTCAAATGTTTATGAAACAATTTTAGAACTGAGTTGTGATTCAGTTCATAATATTCGCATGTGAGAGTACATTCGCAATACTACTGGCAATAAAATGTAACTTTCGTGGAAGTAGACTTAATACAATGTATCATTTATACCATCCTTTGTATCGAAATTCCTTTTAAGATAGTTGTAGACAAAGAATCCATTGGTCATTTGTATTTCATGAACTGAGGTTGATCAGGTGAGATCCAAAAGCAACAAAACGTTGGCATGAGTGTCGTCCTTTGTTAATAATTAGCTGTGAACGCGAATACAACATATGCGAATTGGTGAATCGCACCGCCAGTGAGAGCGACCGCCATGGAGGGGAGGCGCACCAGCGGCGAGCTATTGGACATTTTTGAAGATCCTGGCAAGTTTCGGCATAGGGACACCGTCATCACCTGATTGATCGCTCATTAGTATTCTGTAGATAGTCATACACTAATCGCCACATTTCTGCGCCTGTAGAATTACGAATAGAAGAACAGAATATGATCGGCGATGAATCAAGCATGGTCATTTATCACTAAGAATCGGAAGCACATTGTTTTGAAGGTGAAATGAATACAAAGAAAATACGGGACATACCACCTGAAAATAAACAAAAGATCTGCAAGATGTCAATCGTATTATTCAAGATGCGAAGAGATTTCGTAGTAGCACACTCAAGATACTATCTTGCGCTACAGTCGAGTAATGTATTAAAAGAGGGACAGTACTTCCTCGAAAAATGTTCGGAGATGGGGAGTAATGCTGGAAATGATACTGGATAATGCTGGATAGATTGTGGGCAGCTTCAACAAGAATGCTCTACAATGAAAACTATGATACTGTTTCTTCTCAAAAAGGAAATTGGGGGAAATATAAACGGAAATAAAAACATGAACAAATTGTTCGAAGTCCTCCCGTGGATAGAACCCACAATTTCTCCATTTCTTGCATGTTCACTACGATAAATCGAGTTTAATTTCTAAACCGAAATAGCTAACAGCACACCTATATGGTCTCATCGCTTTCTGGCACAAGCAAGAGAGCAGACTGAACTACTGGTTTTACGGTAAAGATGGTTAATGGCAACGTTTGGAGCTCACGAGCACGTTTCGAGGGACTACTGATCTTTACGTAAGCGTAAGGCCATATATCGAGAGCATGACAATAAGGCAAAGCGAATGCCGATTGCACGAAAAGGGCGATTCAGTCAGAAGCGAGGCGCGTGTCCCCATGCCGGAACCTCCAGCATCGTCGGAAATGCGTGCGGGGCGGGTAGGCAGCCAGGGCCCGCTGTGCGGCGCGGCCAGTG